CTTCCAAACGACATCGTCACGACCCTCCAACATGAGAACTCCAGAAGGTAACACCTCTTGCATAGATAGTGCGTCATGCCGTCACATCCAACGTAGTCGGTGCAGTCTGCTATAAATAGACGTAATCTTCCACACTAGACCTACGAATCGATGGTCGATAACCTCATCCTCGGATGATTGCATACCGCAACGTATCCATGTGCTCAGCAATCGCAAGGTTCTTAAATGCTGCATGCATAACTCTCCGAAAGAGCGCTGCACGTTGAGAACACACTTTCACCCACATGTCTGGATCATCAAGGTTCATCACCTCACTAGACTCACGACGAATCGATGCCGGCAAGTCTGGATCTCGGCCGTACAATGGAAAATATGGTGAGAACGAAGCCAAGGATGCTTGACGACTGAATCGATATTCCATGGCCAGCCATGGTACCTGAATATTTCAGTCTCCAAGATGCCTCTTCTGTAGAGCATACTTGCGAAACGCTCTCTTCACCGTCTTGACAACATGCTTAGCCAAACCATCCGCCTCTTGATGATTTCGAGACGTGGTCCGATGATCAATCAATGTCTTGTCACACAAGACGTGAAACTCACCCTGAAACTCTATCCCCTCATCGTTCAACACCTCAGCTGGTGCACCAAAGTGACCAAGCACCCTGTCAAGGAAAGCATACGCTACTCCCTACACTCACCGTTGACAGGATCTTGGCTGTATCTTGATATTCTCAGGTGGTGAGAGTTGCTTACAAGTCACTCATGGCGTTGGTGAACCGCGTAGATCAGCCTCAAATGGCTTTACCTACGTTGGTTAGTTACCCGGCATCACATGCATATCGTGATGGTGGGACTGGGCTACTCTGAGATTCTACAGTACATCAGTTGGTGGAGTCCAACGCTGATGAGAGAGAGCGTGCGATGGGATTTCTGACTGGTGTGACTGCGGCTTCTTCAGGTTTTGGATCAGGCTATGGACCTGAACTGCTTGACGTGGGAAAATCCCCTACGCGAAATGCTCAACTCGAAGAACTGATAGTTCTTTGAACTCGCTTCGACTATATACTTTGTGAACCAACCCAACGTCTGTCGATCCAACCCAACACTCCTCGACCGTCTACCAGCGGCCCAACGTCAGCCGCGTCTCAACGTGCCTCCGACTCAACTCCGAACTCAACGTGCACACACATGACACATCTCATACAATTTCATACTTTGTCTGTAAGTTGGTGATCTATTGTATGGATATTATATCTCTAAAACTAAAACAGTTATTGATTTACATTTTTTTATTATGTTTTATGCCTCTATAAATAATTTTTTTCCATAAAAAATCTTAAACAATATATATATATATATATATATTCATTAGGATATGAATTCAATATTTATTCAGATGTTACTTAATTATTTGATGTGGTCTAAAATTTCTCATTTTCCTTGTTATTGTTATTTTTTCAATTTCAGAGAAATTTATATCATCAAAATAATTATTGCATGAAAATCATTGCAAAAACATAATTGTTAATTTAATCTTTCCTACATATATGACCTTTCTAATAAAACGTTATCATCAACTTCACCATAACAGGGAAATTTTTGGAAATTTTCTTTTGGTATGGCGAGGTTGTTGTAATTCATCTCAATAAAAAATTATTTATTCTAATGATAATATTTTAATGATTATAACCCAACACAACGACTGAGATTTTTGTTTTAAGAATGTAATGTGTTTGTAAGATCTTCAACCAATCTAGTGCATTTTTTTTCACTTATATGTAAGGATCCGTAATGTCTAAATCTTAAACTATCAAAGTTTCACTAAAAAACACAATTCCAATATTATACATTTACAAAAACTTTCACTCACAAGTTTCATGAACGTGATTGGAGCACTAGTTTTCTTGTGCATCATAGTTTTATTCATTGACCACTTACTCAAGTTAATACTTAGGTTTTGGATAAGTACGTACACAAAATCTATCTTCATCTGACAAAATTTTTTCTCATATTAAGTTTGATGTAGCAACTAATATCAAACATTATAAAACACTTATGGTTAAAAATAATATATTTTTTTCATCCTTGCTAATTCAAATCATATGCATAAGTGCATCTACATATTATTATCAAAAATGATTATTATTATGACAAAATTCATCATGATTTGATTAATATACTCAATTTTATTTGATGATATCTAGTAAAAAAAAATCTTCTACAATCTAATAATCATTGAATTGCATTTTTTCAAGTTATGTGCTGCAAATAAAATAATATAAAACTATTTGGTAAGATTGAAATCTGATATTACATTGTAACTTTTCTGCCAATAATCTAGAATTAGATCATATAAAAACATCTTAAAACTCTTTCAAGGCAAACATCTATGATTTCAATTATATTTATTATCATTAAGTAAAATTACACTTATACATTGTAAAATACATTGTTGTGTATAAAGATTTGTTTAGGGGATTGCTATTGCCACCCCTGTTTTTGCTATTGCGTGATGATGCAGTAACAGTAGGGAGGGGGGGGGGGGGGGTTAGGAGTTGGGGTGGCGGTTGGGAGTTGGGGTGGCAATAGCAAAAACAGGGGTGGCAATAGCAATCCCCTTTGTTTATACCAAATTTGAAGGTAAGATTCAGTCTCATAGTATTTCATCTTCAAAGTCATAACAACTAACTGATGTTGTATGGAGTACAAAAACAAAAACCAATGCTTATGTGTTAGCAATGGATCTGTGCAGATTAAAAGTAAAATATATATGCCAATAAAGGAAATGAGTTGACACATTTTATGCGATCAAATATCATTAATAAAAAATTTAATGAATTAAGAAGAATAAAATCATACTTCATATATCATTCTTAGAATGTTTATCAGTGAGTTGAAAACTCGGATATAACATTCTAGAAACACAATTTTATATTTGACTAATTTTAGATGCATATGATGTTATTATTATAACATCATATTGACTTGAGTAGGTGAATTTATAGAGCATGTTTAACCAAAATGATGTAAACTGAAACAGGATTCTACTTTTGAGTTTTTGGAGAAATCAGTCTCCACTCTTTACGTAAACCTCCATTTGATCAAATTCATATATATCACTTTCTGGTAGTTTAGTAAACCTTGAACTGTAAAGAAATCATGCAATATATATATTGTAATCTTGTTTAAGAATTCTATTCGATTTAAAGTATATTGTGATCATGCAATACAAATGTGTATCCCATGAGGTATGAGAGTATTTTAGGCCCTTTTTAATACAAGATCACACATAGAAATTTTTCAAGTAGATACAGTAAATTCAAAATTTTGAAGTTTTAATTATATGTGGTTGTCTAGTACAAGATCTTGGGCTTCACAAAAAATATATGAAAGTAAAATAAGCAGTAGTGCAATTCAAGTATATTGTGATCATGCAATACAAATGTGTATCCCATGAGGTATGAGAGTATTTTAGGCCCTTTTTAATACAAGATCACACAGAGACATTTTTCAGTAGATATAGTAAATTCAAAATTTGAAGTATTAATTATATGTGGTTGTCTAGTACAAAATCTTGGGCTTCACAAAAAATATATGAAAGTAAAATAAGCAGTAGCGCAATTGTTTCTCAACGAGTTTAAGTTTAAGACTCAAAAAACTATGCCATGATGTTAACACTGGCGTGAATATTATCATTAAACGCCGAAGCTTTATGCCCGACCATAGGTCACATCATGATAATTAGACGAAGGATGAAATCCTTCACATTGGTAATTGAGACATGTAGATACTGTAACATACCTGGGTAGCGTAAGAATTGTTTGTGTTGTCGAGCTATCCAGGCTGAGTATGAGGTACATTGATTGTATCACACAAAGCAAGGAAGGAGTTAGAAATAGTAAAGTAGGAGAGCAATAATTGTTGCCCTGTTGGGATGACAAATCCGAAACCTTAGCTTTCATCTGGGTGGTAGCGAAGCTCGAGAGTACGTATAGAATAGAAACCTCTTGGTTTCTCTTACGTGAAGTGTCATGATTTTTTCATAAATCTGGCGTGAAAAAGTCACTGCTCTGAGGAAACAGGCTCATCGAGGTTGACTCGGCAGCTCGCAGCGATCGAATCGAACAGCGAGCATGCATTTCTTCCTACCGAGCCATGATCTGGATACGTCGTGAAATGGGGATCAGGTAGTCGTGAGTTGCAACGCTGCTGCCCTGGGGACGGCAGGGTCGCTGGGTTCGAAGAGGAACGGGTGGACCGGAAACACGGCCAGATCTTCGGCCGGACGAAAGCCAGATCGACGGGCCGAGGCGCGGGAGTGGATGGATCGCAAACGACAAGGCCGGGAACCGTATGCCGAAAAGCTCCGCGTGTAGGGCGCGAAAGGCAGGCAGGCAGGAAGGAAGGCAGGAGGGTGCACTTTTTCTTCCACTTGTGCGAGAAAGACGGCACCTCGGAAAGACAGTCAGAGGATTCGGCGAAGTCGAAGTAAGAGGGGCTTGAGGGAGTATAATTTCCCATACGGATAGTCAACCGCACTTTATCCTCCGCCGAGGAGAAAAAGTGCACGTCATCCGCCAGCACGGAAGCGAGGTGCACTTTTTCCCTAATTATGTAAAAGATGGACAGTTTGAACTGCATGTCTTTTAGTGATGCAAGGGGTGGGGCTCGCAGCTCGGGCCCGAAATAAAAGGCTAGAAACCCTAACTAGGGCGATGGGCGTAGCCGAGACCGGACCAGCCCGTGGCCAGGAATCTTCGGGGGCACAGGGAGAAGGACGAGAGCGGAAGGCGACGGAGCGGAGGGAGTAAATGCGGAATTTTCTAATGCTGCGGAAGGGACCCGGGAGCATACGACAAAAGAAACCCTAAAGACAATATCTGTGCTGCACTTTGTCCTGCAACTAGCGGAAGGGGTGCACTTTCTCCCTCGAAGGGAGGGAAGGAGTGCACTTTTTCGTTTTTGTGGACACAAAAGCAGCCAAAAGATTGTGTGGAGAGCAATCTCTTCGAGATCTTTTGATGGCAAAGATAGAGCTCTGAAGAGAGAGAGAGAGAGAGAGGGAGAGACATGGTGCCGCTGGGCCAGTAAGGAGCAGAAAGATGATTGCGGAAAGCGTGATGAGGTAGAAAGGGGGGCTGCGGGGTTGATGGGGCACGAGCACTTCAGAGAAGATCTGAGAGCGCCCGTCGTGCTTTGAGGCAAACGACAACGGAGAAAAGTGCCGCGTGATTGAGCTATGGACAGACGACCTTTTGGAGTTCTCTTATTACAGAGTACACTTGGCAGGGGACGAACTCAGAACCGCGCAGCGAGCCGCGGCGTCGTATGAGATGATGTGTGCAGCGAGCGAGCGAGCGAGTTAGAGCGAGTTAGCGAGCTAGCGCCTTTCGACGGTGGGCGATAGCGCGCGGGCGGGCGGAGGAGCTAGAGCGAGCCGAGAACTCTCGTTGGAACATTCGATAGATTATGGGACTGGCTCGGTTCGTGGGCGTTGGCCGCATTGACGTCGACCCGAGCTCAGTCGTGGTGCAGATGCAGGGTAAGAACGTAGGATCGAATAGAGAATCTCGCTCGGCGGTTGGAGCGGCAGCTTCGGATTTGCGATCTTCGGCAGAAGCAGCTTGCGTTATCATGTCACCGACTTTCCCGTGCTTGGGACTCTCGGGAGGTGAATGGTGGACATCTTAACACCGAGAGTTGTTTGCCGAAACGGAGCGTTTCTACACTTCGACGTTTGCATGCAGTATAGCACTGCTCGCTTGACAGTTCTGGACGTACATGACTGCCCAACTTCTGGTTTTAAGGCATAGCATAGGGGACAAACGCAAGTCTGGATCTCAGACATACAACTGACAGCAGTTTCCATGTTTTAAGAGGGGCAAAGAGATAGTCACCGATTCGACTGTTGAGGCGAACATCGATACACGGGATTATTTCGTTGGCATTGATCCTATCTTTCATGAAGAGCTGGAAACCTGAATGTTGTTTGCATCTGTCAGATCTGATGTCTCCGCGGGAAGAAATAGACCTGTAGCTGTCAGACATCAAGAAATCACGCATTCTGAGGATCAACGTACCGAGCTCGGTCCTTACTGTAATTATTTCTAAAAGGTAGCCACTTTAGGGCTCATTACACTGCACAGGCCAAATCCGATATCTGGAATAGCACTTGAAGAGATCCACCTCGCGGACAGTGAAGCACATGGGAATGTAGCTTGGGGAAAGGGTCGTTAGGCTGCTTTGTAAAAGTCAAATTCGGAAAGCATCGGAACGAGAATACTCTTCGAAGATGCGGCAGTGGAGACGCGCTGTACAAGGCTTTGTTTAAAGGGTACAGCAGGTAGTAAGGTGGGCAGTAAGCCAAATGGGGGAGGAGCTGAGTATACGAATGTGGGGCTATTTGCCGGCTGCGTCTATTCAACGAGCGCCTTTCTTGGTGCCCACTCCCGTGCCTCCGTCCAGTGCTGGAGAAGGTTGGCGCACCGTTTGCAGTGGTGGTTGTGGATTCGGTGTCGCAATTTCAGGTAGTTCCCGCTGTCAAAGTTATAGGTCTGAACAATCCGAGGCAACAAGATGTCAAGCACATAGATGATATCTTCCCGATCTTACCGTACCATATCGTGCTTCACCTTTCTGGCTATGAGCTACACGAGCTGGTGATATCTATCATTCCGAAAGCTCCTTTTTCCCCTCCTAGAAAGACTTGTAATGTAAAAGCTCCGGAGCGCTCGATTCTCCCGAGCTCTAGATGCCATTTGGGCCTCGGCAGAAAACCTACACTCATGGTCAAACTTACATCGGACGTTTGCTTCGGCTTCCTCTTGATGTGTATGGAGCTGCCAGTGCAGCTTAATTGAGAGTGCTCTAAGCTCTCTAACCAGTATTCAGCAGATGCTGGCCACTCATTCGTGTCATCATGAAGGACTGATATTGAAGGCTCGATTCAGTCGTTTTTCGGGATGAGTACCATGTTTGGTCTTGAACCCGTCAAGTAGGACGGGTCTGCCTTGCTATGGGAATGTCTCTAGAGGTTTTCGTGGTATAAACCACGAGATGTGGTCTGTTCAAGTAAATAATGAGTCGATCATGGCGGTGAGCTTGCGACGGCCAATTAGCAACAGAAAGTGTTATGTGAGTCATATATGTCTGTTACTGGCTGCTAATGATGTTGTCTGACAATACATGCAGAGTCTGGGAAGATCAATACGTGGGGATCAACGAACGATCTTGGTCAATGCTATATGATAACAGGAAAGGAGCAGGTAGTAAGTTGGACATTTTTGAGTATGCCTGTCAACTCCGCCGATTCTTGCTAATCGAAATCATTGCCATAGAACGTGATCCAGACGCTTGCAGCATTTTGCTTGCGGGTCGTACCCTCTCTGATTGCCGACGGCTAAAACTTGTGCCGGTTGATATGGTAGGAACGACCTGAACCTTACCTCTTCAGCGGAGACGCCAACATCGTGCAAGCTGCCGCGGGTTGGGCACATTGCGCTGCTGTTACAGGCAAGCTCCTTACTCCTTCACTGACTTTTGCGTTCTCTAGGCAGAGCAGGCTGTTTCAACCATGGAATTAGCCTTTTGAATTCAGGTTTGAACTAAGAATTCTTTTAAAGACGATACGCACCTAGAACATCCAGTCTCAGATTGACTGGTTTGTGTAAAACTTTTGTCATGAAACATGCTCAAATGTTTATCCTCTACCGGGTTCCGAAGGATACATCCTCTCTTGTTTGTATATCGAGTTGTCTGTGTTCAACGTTTCATTCTGTCGATGGTGCTTTTAGGGATCTCAAGCGAAGGCCAAGCACGTGATTGGCACTTTCCAGTTTAGACCTATACCCAACAGCGACGTTGCGATCAAAGGTCAACTTTAGGCTAATATTAATTCGTGATGGCTTTGTGTAACTAGAAAAAGGAGAAGTGTTTACCTGGGGATGGAGTGAATGCGTGCCCAACGCTAATCTGACAACCACAGACGGTCAAGGAGCTGTCGCGGGTGCCATCAGCGAGGTTCTTGATGATAGCTCAGCACAAACTGGGCGGCCTAGCGTCAACGAAAATTCTGACTGTGCAGACTCCACTCCAACCTCTTTCGATGCTTCGAGGAGAAGCACACCCAGTTCAGGACAGGATAGGTCCCGTAATGGGACGCTGTCGTCCAGCAATAAGCTGAAGCTAGTGAACACCAAGACATCTGGGAGGAAGAGTTCTGGCACCCTTGACAAGGCGGACGATAGTCTGAAAAGGAGAAAAGTTGTCGTTGCGGATGAAGAAACAACCGACGACAATGTTATGGCTCCGCCGTGCATGGTGACGTTGGATCCGGGTGTGATCATCGTTTCTGTAGCGGCGGGCGGACGACACACCCTGGCCCTTTCAGGCGAGTGAATCTTCACGCATCTTGGGAGTGTCTTCAATGAAATTGTTACCCTTTTGTTAGCAACTTGGCATTAGAACGTTCAAAAGTTGGCGTGCCAATCTTTGGCTGGCATACCGCCATCCGCACCTTCCTCTCGCGTCTAAGATGTCCATTATGTCCGCTTACAGATGCAGGTAAAGTATGGGGATGGGGCTACGGAGGCGAAGGACAACTTGGTTTAGGTTCACGCATGCGGTTGGTATCAACTCCACAGATCATACCTCATTTGGAGAGACCTTCTACGGGAAGTGGATCTTCCAAATCCAGGAATAGCTCGGGAGTCGTCAATTTCTCCAATTCACCTTCAGATCTGTTGGGAACTCGTGTGATAGGGTTAGCTTGTGGCGGCCGTCATAGCGCTGTGTTGACGGGTACGAACCTCGCTCTCTACTTTCGTCGACCTGATTCATTCTGCTACTCAGGACCGTTCTTTTATATTGACAGGAGTTTCTTGCTCAGAATATTCAGTGACATGCACACCGTACATCTGTCACGTGAACGTCTGATAAGCCGACACTCTTTAATTGCTTTGGCTTTTCCAGATTCTGGAGCAGTACTTTCCTTCGGGTGGGGACTCTATGGTCAGGTGAGAAACATTCTACCTTTTTGGTACTGCAATCTTTCTGAGTCATTCGTAATATACTCCTAATTCGTTGGATGTGCAGCAACAGCAATGTATGACAAAGCATTGCTGTTGCTGCTCATCCAAAGAAACACATGATTATATACTGTGGCTCATAGCCACCTTCAGCGCTGAAGTAGATGTCTTGTAGTAAGTGAATCACTGTTGTTCTAAATATCATTCTCTCTCCGAATGAATGCTAGTGCTGATGAAGATGTCGGTTGTCATGACATACTGCTCTATATGAACGCAATTCTGATGACGAGACTCAAGCGCACGTCTTAGATTTAGGCCAATTTTTGTACTCATACATCTGAGCTCGTGATTGTGCATTTCAAATGTGTGCAGTGTGGTCAAGGATCTACTGATGATGAACTATCCCCAGCTTATATCTCTTCATTGGGAGGAATAAAAATCACAGGCATAGCTGCAGGCTTGTGGCACACCATGTTCATATCAGACACCGGAGATGTTTACTCTTGTGGCGGCAATCAGTTCGGCCAGCTGGGAACTGGTGGCGACCAAGCTGAGGTTTGTGACACTTCCTACCCGCTGGTGTTGATTTCCCGTTTTGAACCGGTTTTGCCACCGCTCAGCCAGTGCGCCGGGTCCATTGTCTTCAGGCGATGACAGGAACTTACGAATGAGTACGCTTTAAACGGGTGCTAAGGAACAAATATCTTGCAGCGGATTTAATGTCTTCACCATGTTCATGCAGATGCTTCCCACCTTGGTAGACGCCAGTGTTTTGGAAAACGAGCAAGGCGTTCTTATTTCTTGCGGAGCCAGGCACACTGCTATGTTGACTGGTTTGTCCCCATCTGTGGCTTCTACTCTAGTGTCTCATTGTCATTATGTTGCAACCTAAAGTCGCGAAGACTGAGTGATGGAGTTGTAAGGAATTGACATTGCAGCCTCCCGTGGGAGTCTGGGCCGTGTCTCAGTCCGTTCTGAGTTGTAAGGAGGTATTACGTGATCTCAAAAACGGCTTAAGCTTACAGTATTTCTGTCCGTCCCTCAGTTTTATCCTCCCTTGCCGCGCCTCAGTTTAATCTAATTCTGCAGCTTTGTTTGTGCAGAGAGTGGGAAAGTATTCTGCTGGGGATGGAACAAGTATGGACAGGTTTGCTACTACGACCCACTCATGTCAGTGTACTCTGTCACGAATTTGCTTTGAACAGAAGTTAGTTCGCTCATGTGCTAAAGACGTGTGTGTGTGTTTATGACAGCTCGGTGTCAGTGACACAGTGGACAGAGACAGTCCGGCAGAGGTTGCACTAAATGATTGCTCTGCAAAGAGCCTGGCGTGTGGCTGGTGGCATACTCTGGCTCTTGTGAGAGAAAAAGAGTGACGTGATACTCGCACGAATACACAGGTGACCGTATACAATATCATTTTGATGTACAGATAAACTTTTGTTGTCATGATTACCCCTCACGCTTTTTGTGAAAATTAAATTTTCAGATACCGTCATTTTCCACACTTGCTCGTTGCAGGCAAGTTAGCCACTAGAAGAGTAGAGTCCCTGTGAAAAAATTACTGAAATTATTACCTACGATGAGGAATCACTGTTAGTCTCCTCCATACAAGCACTCTACAAATAGTTGTTTGGAACCTAGTCATGGACCTTGATCATAGCAGGAAGACTGATGTAGCTGCCACGTCACCTACCGCAAACCATTTCGCCTCTGCAACTGTCAACTTCCGATGGACGATGCTCTTGAACACTTTCTACACTGAGAAACATTTCATTCTGGTATATCTGGACAAGCTTTAGGTTTTCCGTAAGCTTTGGAGATACCGTGACTTTGCGACCACCATTAACATGTGAAATACTCATGACAATTGGTAGTTAGTAACGGTGGTTTTAAGTAGCGGGACATCATTTTTATGTTGCGTCAGTATTGTCACTTCAATTTTGAAACAGTAGGAGTGACAAAAGTAGTGTGGAAGCTTTTACTACCCTTTTAAAACCTATACAGAGGGTTGAGCAAGCAGATTCTGTAATCTTTGTGTAAAAAGATAGGCAAAGTTCTTTCTTTCATTTGACATAATGTGAAGACATGTTATTTTTTTTTCGCCCGAAAAGATGCAAGTATGCGAACGCCGCATTCGATGTGCATTCAATATGAATGTGCAATGTACCATGTGTATGAGTTTTACGACCACTGCAACAGTCACCTCGGCATTCCAACAGTGACGGCGAATGAGGGTGTGCGTATGTGGTATGACAGACGTTATCATTTCTTACCTCTTTAGGCCTAAGCGAGATATTCCCTCCTTGCTCCACAATCATTCCTCAGGTATCAGTTCGTACCTGAACAGGTTAATGTGGGAGGACTTTGTAAGTAGAAAGTTAAAAAATATGAGTATTGCAAAAAGAAGACGAGACGTTGGCACATTTTCATCTGTGGTTACCTGTGTCATTTCGAAACGGCTTTTGTATTCAAAAGTCAATTCATCTGACATGCGGAACAGAAAAATGTGCATTGTGCACACGAAGACAATCAGGATGTATTTACTGTAAAATAGATGCACTTCGTAAAGTTTCAATATACAAATCTACTAGCCTTTCCAGTGATCAAAATACTCAAAACTCATGAGGTCAAATCAATCACTTGGGTTCACAGGTATCAAGCCAATTTGAATTGGCCCTAGTTTTCGTACCTGGTGTAAACTAGCTGAAATGTGTACCCAGAAATTATATAATTACTCTCTTCGGCTTTTGCAAAAGAATTCGTGGTTCTACTTTCAAACATAATTGGAAATATGATAATTGTTTCCATCGCAGTCGTTCGGAAAAAGCCTGCCCCATACACGCGAAAACTGAAGTAACCGTGGCTACCATGACTATCCGATGCAGATCATTGCCCTGTCGATTCAGTTAACGGGGTAGTCAATTCCTTCTAATTTTGACAATCCCATTGTATGCTCGTATGATTCATCCTCGAATCGTTCTATCAAGTTTACTCCGACGTAATCTAAAACCTGTGTCTCAACCTCAGTCCAGGATGGAATGGACTAGTATAGATGCTTCTCCCGTTTCGTCTGGATCTGACTCAGCCAATATCAAGTTATAGAGTATTAATGATCCGAGCTCACTGGATTCGGTTCAGTTGTCCAGGAAAACTCTCTCAAACAAAGACTGTCGACTATGCATCCGACAGAATTTTAGAGTGGAGGACGACGGTGTTACATGTATTCGATCGGAAATTTCATTAAATGCTCTTCGGAATGTCGATTCCTCGAGAGATAGCCAACTCCAAGACCCTAGATATATCTAAGCAGTAACCTAATCCTAACTGTAGAGAAGTATCTGGGGACGGACCATTCCCATCGATCGTACCTGTTAGGATTTTTCCATTGGTGCCTCCCATCACCGTGTCCTTCATAGAATGCGCTGAATTGGCAATTCTTGTTCCCATGGACTGCAAGACACTTTTCTCCTCTCCACCTCCTGCAAATTCCAAAGGAAACCAATGTTGTTCAGGCGAAACAACGGATGATCCCTTCCTAACTGAGAAGGATCCGTTTCACATGACTTTGTTGCATGGATTGCAGTGAACGTCCGCTTCGTCAATTCTTCAACAGTTTCTGCAGACTGAAATATAACATCGGAGTGAAATCTCTTCCAGCCTGACATTCACCGAGTGTACCAGATGTACATCGGCAACCGAAGAGCGTCGTGTCTTGGGACAGCAGATGGTGTGACTTGGAGGTTTCATTAGGTGTCCTAGACAAACAAGCTCTTTCACCGATCAGCCTGTGGACGTGATCGTCGAGCTAACAAAGAGATGCTACGAGGAGACGACGAGGTGATGCGCGTTTCTGAGTAACTGGGAAAGTCATGGCGCTTACCTGCGCTGCCTGAAACAGTATCTTTCAACGTATGAACAGATTCGGTGATAAAATCTGAAACCGATTGCAACAGGCTCTCCTCCGCGTCCGTATCGGTATGCGTGTCTGCCACACTCTTGTCGTCTGTCGCAACTCCTGAAGCTCGAGTAGGATCATCCTTCACTTCTCTGCAAATTTTCCCGCTATGTGAATTCTCGGGTGCCAGCTTCTGCTCAGGGTCCATCATTCGAACCTTTCTTTTCCGCGTCGAGAAAGGTGTTTTAGCCGATAAGGCAGTTCTGCCTCTGAAATTGTAATATTGTGAAATAATGAAAAGAAAGAGTTTCGCTCTTCAAGCTGAAGATGATGGATTCAGCAGTCAAAACTTCCCTAACAAGTTGAACGTTTGCCTCCCTCTGCGTTGCCGATGGCGGTAGACCTGACGCAAAGCGCGGAAGGGAAGAGGTTTATGCTCGAAGGTGTCTGCCAGTCCACACCGCGCCGCCTCGATGCCGAAAATGGGGTTGACGCGGAAGTCGAAGACGCCTTCAGTGCGTCTTCAGGTCCGCGCGGAATTCATGAAATTCAGTGGAATCTGAATCTTCATGCTGACGCAGGGTGTACGTGGCCGCGGATCCCCATTCTAATCACCTTGTGTTGCCACGGCCCTTGCGACCGCCGAATAGATCGATGTGCCAGAATTAGAGATATGTCTGGGAATTGGTCGATGCCGCTGACGAAGTGATCGAAGCTCTGGGTTTGGGAAAGGATGTGGCAAGAGCACGAGTGTCACATTCGTACTGGTTCCGAAGACCGTCATGGCCCACGTTCTCTTCTGCAACGGTTTCCCCATTCATTGGGAGCGAAAGACTATCAGGGCACCCTCGATCATGCGTGTTGCAGTCCCTCTCAGAAGATGCGCATCTCATTCAAAGGCTTTGTTTTGAGTGAGTCGCTGTTGAATGCATTCCATAGCTTACGACAGGTGTGCAGTGCATGCATTTACAACATAAACAGTCCTCGATCCCTCATTCCGAGCCTCCGTTCGAGCGCAATGTGTCCACAGAAAACAACGGGATATATGTCAACTAACTTTCCACCCAGCATCGTATGGAAAATATCAACATGAATAAATCTTTACGTTAATAATTTGGATCTCCAACAATAAATTTTATATCAACTTTGTTCATCTCTCCAATTTTTTCACGATCATATCTTATATAAGTATTATATTTATCTACATTTATCATGTACTCATTATCATGATCTAATTCATATTTCTGATGGATGTTATATTTTAAAGATATTTTCATCATACTAAATGATGATATTTAATATAATAATTACATACTTTACTTATAATTTGTATATTCTTATTCATCATTGATTTGAAGAATGTTTTCTTTGACTGTAAATATATTAAGGTATTCATTTTCATATACACAAGATTCATGTATACTAATTTGCATACATTTATATTATACCAGTTTTACAGCCGTGCAGAATTCGTTCAGATTCATTAAAGATCGGAGATTTGTTGCAGTTAAGTTACTATGAAAAAACACTTACCACCTTCTCTCCTTCCGAACGAAGTTTATCAACTAATCAAAAGACTCAAAATTCGAGAAACAGTAGAAGCAATCCCATCTGAACAGTAGAAGTTCAGATGAAATCCCATCCACCAGGCCGGATGAGAAAAAGCACACTTGTAATTACATAAGTGGTACGAATGATAATACATGAATTAAAACCGCGAAGCTACAAAATGAATAAGTTGACGACTCCAGTCTGTGAGCGAGTGAGCTCCCACAGACCTACCCTGGCTGGCAACTAAGTTACCGTTCAGAAAATGATCTTCCATTACACCATATCTTACAGGCCAAATTCCGCTTACAATCTTCACACTATCATATGAACGTCTAGCAGACACGTACGAAGGACCACTCGCATATCAAACTCTGCTTAAACCGCTCTCTCGGCCTCGACTACGTTGGCTTTGTAGGGATTTTCACTTCCACCCTCGATTTCAAAATCTCGGTTGCCGTAATTCTTGCTGTTGCCGGCAAGGAGGGGCTCCTGCCATTCCTCTCTCTCTCGCTCGTCGATCAGTCGCTCCTGGGCTCCACCCCTGAGCTTCTCTGCAGTTCCTCCCAAATGCTCCACTTGTTGGAGCTGGATGACTCTAATGACGTTCACAACGCCTCCGATCAGCAACAACGCTGAGCCCACGATGGCGAAAGCGACGGCCAGAGTCTGCAAGAGCCCGACACAGTCAGTAATGCAGGAGATAGAATCGAAATTTTGACATATACTATGATGGATGGATGGGATGTTCAGAATTTGCTCGATCACTTCTCTAGGTGGGGACGAGACGACCTCTGCGTGTGTCGTAGAGAGATCCACAATCCACATATTCAGATTTTGTTTCAAATGGAGATACTGCTGACTACCGGGCTCTCCGACTATGTTCGGCATTGCATATAGCTCGCACGACCATCAAACCAAAATGAAGAAAATATATGAATCGCTATCTGACGTCATGTCTTCGCTACTCAGGAAGAAGACCATGTGTCTCAACGAAACATCTCGAAGGAAAATACTGATATGACGTACCATAGCTGAATGCCAGGCCTTGACCGGCCAGGCGACTGTGTTCACAATTGCGGCTACAAGAAGGAAAGTGCTTCCGAGCACGAAGGGAATCGTCACTGCTTTCTGCATCAGCTGCACCTGAGTTCCGGCACTCTCATACACTTGGAACGCATTGTGGATCGACCCGAGAAGCCACAGAGCTGGTGCAGCAATGATCAGGTTGTTTGCATGGGCTGCAACATCGACCGTCTGGTCGAAGGTGTCGAAGTCCCCTCTTGCGAGCTGAAAAAAGCGGAATATCATGTCAGACGAGATCCACTTATCTTCGTGGCACCAGAGGACACGCAAAATGATCAGGATCAGAATGAAAATTCCTAGAAACGAGCCCTTTCCTAGCATTCAAGCTGCAGTTTCAAAATTCCCCCAAAATCAGCTGCCTGAAAAAACCTCGATAACCGAAAGCAAGACGACTGGATCAATTGTGACTCTCTTCCTAGAGCGTCATACGATCTTGCCACCGGTTTGAAGCGAACTGCAGATGCAGGTACGCTGGGAGGAAGCACTTGCAAGCCCATTTCTATCTCAGCTGGAGTTCTAGATATATATCCTACTCTACTGTCAGTGATATCTTCTCCGAGGCTGCTGCCATGAACTACAAACATTTCACCGTCACGTCAGTCACCGAGCAATCATCAGTCTGCAGCAGAGAGTGGATCACCGACCCGCAGAAGGAGCACCGCTCCGATGAAGTAAACGATGGCGCCGATGCACTGCACCAAGGGCGCAGCGATCTCAATGAGAGCCAATTGAGGGTCCAGAGTCACGAGAGGCAATCTGAAATCGAAGCCTGCCAGCTGCGCGTAAAGATCGTGGACGTTGGCGGCGAAGATGCAAACTAGACCCACTAAGATCAGCCATAATCCTGCAGTGCTGTTGTATCCCGGTAACAACAACACGCATCCTGCCGTCGTCAACAAGGCGGCCACCATGTACCCAAAGGCATTCACATCCTCCCACACGTCCTTACTAGCCGCCGGCCCGTATAGCCGTGTGGTCCGGACGGACGCTAACTTCACCATTTTCAATCAGATGGGGCGGAGTCCAAGTTTCGGCTGCACGATAATCCGATCTTAGAATCCGCTCTCGACGCAGCGGGTGCGATTGAGTCCGATGACTGCCGGCCTGCTTCTGCGTCTGCGTCTGCTTCTGCTCCGGATCCGAGATCTGCGAGCGTCCTATACTCCAGGCTCGGCTCGATGCCGATTTACATATCGAGGTCTCGGAGCTTGCCATGCCAGAAGCCGCGACTGACTCGAGACCGAAAATGCATGCGCCCTGAAAGTGAACGGTGACTAAGGGCAGCAGCAAATTGCTTGATATGAGACGATGGCCACGCGCCGCCACCATGCTCGACTCGGTTCTGGCAGGACGATCGACATGGCACTCGGGAGCAACCCGCTTCCAATGCCCTGCTCACAGATGTTAAAGTCGCTCGATGCGGCCACATGTCCTCGTGCATGCTCCACCAGAGTCGCTCGACCTCCTCCGTTCTCATTACTCGCTCTCGGACTCGTCGTCTCTCCTCCTCCCTCCTGCTCCTGCTCCTCCTGCTGCTGCTGCTGCTGCCGCCGCCGCATGGTTTCAGCTCTCCTCGTCGTCGTTCGAAACCAGACCCCCAGCGCCATTCCGCCAACCGGTTCCGGATTCCCTCTCGCCCCCGCAGTGACGGGACGTTCACCTTCTCCGCCGTGTCCGAGCGACCGACACTTGTCCAGCGCTGCTATTGGGTGACAAGACCCTGTGGTGGACCCCAGCAAGGGCATGCCCCATCGCAATAGTATCCTACACGTGTGATTCCCATGTCCCTTTCTCGACTCGGAGATATCTTAACTACAAATATGGATCTGAATACAATCACCTGATGTTTGATATTTCACGTGCGGAATTAGTTATGTTTTACGTGTGAAATTAGACATCTCTACCGTAATTTGAAACTATTTCATAAAAAAAAAATCTGAAAAAAATGTTTATAAAACTTCTACAAATCACCGTATATGTTTTCATGTACTTCTAAGCTTTAAAAAACACAGAACTTTACTTTCCTTTACTCCTAGCTATCCGTGAAAGTTTATATTCATCCCCATGTCTAGACGCACCAAACTTCTAATCTGACCATTTCCGATAGCTTTAACTTCAAAGTACCTGGAACTTATACTTCAATTCAAAACGTTATGATTGTGAGATGCTCATGAACCAATCTTTTAGCACAACCCAGATTTAAGTAAAGTCGTGAGCAAACAAGAACCGGGGCGTGATTGATTTTCTTGTCCAAGATGTATAGGGACACATGATCCAGATTTTATTATGTAACTTAAGCCATGCAATAATGTATTATTTGAAAGTGCAACTAGTTTCAATGGATCTGAAACCTATACATTTTATGATGTTATACAATTATAGCCATCTTCACACACAAACTGTGAACAAACCATCTAACATGTGATGGATGGATGGACATCACAAAACTCATTTTGATCATGTCTCAATCCTCTTCAGTTGAACTGACATCTTTCTTTGACCTAAAAAAACTCTGTTATGGCGTAAGCACATCATGACAACAAAGGGAAAAGAAATTATACAAGTTCATACATTATTTCTCCTCAGTCAAAGAATGGGAAAATCTTGTTCTTCTACAATTGAGATTTTAGTAATGATATTAAGTAAATCCACTTCAATCATTGTATTTACTTGATGTACCACCAAATTGTCCCCATATTTATATTATAATTCCACGGGTAAAAAATCAATATATCAACTAATGTATGAACAATATTATCAGAAACCTTTTTCATGTTATCACATAACTCTTGTTATATCATATAGATTGTATGCAGAGTTGAATAGACTAGTATAAATGGTTCATATCATAAGAGTGTCTTCATATCCCTAGTGAGATGTGTTCATTTGTCTTTTACTCCCGTAAAGTCGACGTGAAAAAAAAACATAACATATCACTTATTGGAATGCTACATGATGCTAGATGAGGTAACATTGAACTGTGATCACAAAGACGTACATTAATGATGAACAGTTCATTGACTGATTGTGATAGTTGATATGAGACACATAGAATGATTGTGCTCTTGATTTTTGCATTTTAATGTTGAACGGGTTATAACCCGTTCAACATTAAAAACGGGCGTCATGAGATAAAGACAGTTTAAAAATGATGAAAATGAGATTTAATGACAATGAAACTCATTATATGGTTGTTTATAGTTCAAAAATCCACCAATAACTTCCGTATATAAATCAAGTACATTTGATTAGCTCCACTATTAGACAGGTGTGCGTGTAGCTAAATCCACCCATAATATACACTTATGTAAAAAGTAAAATATGATTTATTACAAAAATGTGAAAATTTAAAAAATATAGTGCATTAGTATGATGTGACATTTTCTTTGTATGCATTTGAATTTTTATTATGTCATCAAGAGTTCTAATCTTCAACATTATCAATAAAATTTATTTTTTGATTTTATTTTGCAAAAATTTGAAAATATAAAGATTAAATATTAAATTATTGATATCATTATGTTTTTTACTTGCTTTTGTAATCATCAAAGAATTTTTAAAAAAATTATATGATTTTCCAAAATATGTGGGGTTAACTCTTGTCAATGAGTAATCTCCTTAACAAAAGTAGATTATTAAAGATAATTAGGAGGGTTGTGTGTGTTGGGGTATTTTATTAGAGAATTTGCTCATTATTGTAAAAAATTTAATTTACTCTCACGAATGTGACGAATTATTCCAAAGCTTGAACCAAGTTATAACTTGTGTGCATCTTGCGTTGAATCTTGTTTGGTGTTTACTCCGGATGTTTTTTTTCACGTATGATATTCGAATTATACGTTAATTTGTTAATTTTCCATAATTTGATTGTCTAAAAGTTTTGGGATGTTCTTTAATCCTTTTTAATCATTACATATGTTTTTTGTTTCTATAAATTAACTTAAGTTACAAAAGTCAACTTGTCCTTTATGAGAAGTAGCAATATTTTAAAAGAAAATGAATCATCCATTCTAGTCAACCAAAATTAAGATTAATCTCATTTGTTTCAAATAATGTTATATCTTTAAGTGAATTAAATCTGAAATTTTCAATCCACTGAAAAAAAATGTTTGATATTTCATCTAATAATCCAAAAAAAATTTCAAGTTTCAACATCATCCTCAATTAACCATTAAGTATAATCAGAATTTCCATCTTAAAAAATATACAATATCAATATATCTCTTTACTTCATCTTGTGTATAGTTTGAATTCAATATTTTATTTTCAGTGCAAATTAAAAAAATAATGTTCTTTTAACACGAAATTTTATGTTTTATGTTTAAAATGAAAGTCAGATGAAAATTTATCTATTTATTGATATTGAGTGATGTAAAAACATATTTTGATTTTGAATGAATGATTATAAAATATTCTACTAAAGGCGAACAAGATAATTATATTAAAATTTTCTAAAAGAAGAAATAAAGAAGCGAATTTGTTAACCTATAAATTTCTAATCAAAATAAATAATATAAATATCTCTCAAAACTATCAACATGTATCCAAAATTTTGAATTTATTTTCTAGATATGATTTTTTATTTATAAAATATATCAAAAAAGACTTTGTATTTTAAAGTCAATTTATATTGAAATAAAAATTTATTTGTGACAGAATTATCACTTGATAGTAAATAGTCATTAGTATTACTAATTGATATATTTTTTATACTATTGAAGCTAATTATTACTAGTATACTAATCAGTATTTGTATTTTAGATATTGCTATCTTTATCTAGTGTACACAAAATGATAAGCAAAAGCTCTCTAAAGTATGAATTAGGTACTTAAAAATTATATTTTGCCTGTTTTGTGTAAGTTTTCTTGCTATAAAAAATCAATTTTTAACATTATTTTAAAATTAATATAAATAAATCATAAAAATATGAATATAACATTTAAAAATAAAATTTATTTCCGATTTAAAGATTATTAAAATTAATCTGTTATTTGGAATCTGTTATTCCAAAATTTAAAGATTCTATTGGATTATTGTAGAAATTTTCATGAATTGTTATTAATTTTCAAAGATTAAGATTCTTTTAACAGTACATCGGTATTAGAAGTATTTTAAACCTTAATTAATAGAATTGACCTCATTAATAAGTTTAATTTTTGGAATGAAAGAATAACTAAAATAGAATACAATTCAGTTAATTTTTTATTAGAATTTTTTTATATGATACAAAAATTTGGAATTTTACAAAATTTTCTCAAATGATGATAAAACGTACACAAAAAGGTTGTAGCTAAATTATTCGTGAGATTTTGAAATCAACTGATGTATTACTTCACTCAAATGAAAAGCCACCAAATGACAGAAAATCAAATTTCCGACCTATTCATGAACATCTCAATTGACGTGTAATTTATTAATGTTTAACCTTGCCAAGAAAACTCATGATATTTTGATAATTAATATGTATTAAATTTTATGTGAATTGAGAAAATTAGAAAACATAAAACAAGATTTTTAGAACTTGAAATTTTCATTTATTTATATATAAGTAAATTCTTTGTAATTACAAAGGATTTATATATATCATATTGTATCTCTTCATTAGTATTCGATATCTAATCGTCATACAAATGTGTTGGAAGTTCTCCATAACACAGATGTCTGTCATAATTGGAACATTTCATATCTGTCACGTTGTAGTGATTATTAAAAATATATAAAAATTCTTTCGATCTTTCAACTGAGTATCCTCTACTACAATACATATACTGACTTCGTTCTGTTCAGCACCGAATTTCTGCTGACATAGCTACATAGTTTGCTCCCCAGACGACTCCTAGGTATTTGCGAACCTCCCGTTCCAATTGCTCTCGCAATGCTTCAAGTCAACAGAAACCCTTCACTGAGCACCAAACAAACCTTCGGTAGAAGTCATGCACTGCTGGAAAACCTCGATTTATTGTCAGGACCTTAACCGGTGATCGATGTCTGCTTACATCGGCGTAAATCAGTATGAAGATAATTTCACGAATTAAAATACGGAAACCCATGCGAGTTGGGGCCCTCGGTACATAAAGGTGCGAATGCTGCAGCTACAGAAGAAAATTTAAGAAATTAAAGAGATTGTGACATCGACGAGAGGAAGCAAGAAAGTAAACCGAACCACGGCATCGGGTTAGACTCGGTTTCAAGGACATGGGAGTAAGACCAACTGCCGGAACAGAAACGGTTGCATATCTAGCAGATCGAACGGTGGACCTTCCATCGCAGAAGTTACAGTCCAATAACACAGCCATGTCACAGTTCACCTGCTTACATGTCCTGACCTGATTGGGCGCCGATGATTGGACTTGGCCACCCGTGATGCGTGATCCTCCGTCGCCCGACAAACACCATACAGACATTGCCAGATGTGAATCCTAGTCACGCCCACTGAGGAAGTGGACCCTCCCCGAGAGCAAATCCTCCGAGAGTCTGCCGCTTCTTGGAGTCTCGATCGAATGCTCGAGTTCGAGCTTAATCGTTTGCGCTTAAACCTAGATCCTCATTGCTGCCGACCTCCGACTGACAACCATTCAACACCCGGACGTGTCATGCGTCGCTCTTCGGTGTACGAGCAATCCTTGAGTCGCTGCAAAATGGCCCGGAGCTTCAATTTATCTGACGTTTGAATCTCTCGCAGTTGGCAGGACGGCATTCTTTTCGTCTTTTTATGGAATGGGGTTGTCTGACGGAGTTCCGGACTTGACAACATGGAGTTGGGAAGAAATTATGAGGTTATGGGGATGATCACGTGTTCTGCGTTGCGTTCGCCCTCGGGAATAGCGCCTGTACAATACCACAGCTTCCCCAGGCAATGATTGGGGCCAAATTGAATACCCTGATCGTATCTAAAAGTTACAGCAATCTGTTTCTCGTACATCGTATGGTGTATGGAATCTTTGGACCGTACCAGGAGGCGGTAAATATACGAGCGGATCTTACTGCAACAGTGAGCCAGGTTGACTGCTGATGATATTTGAGGAAAACCCGGAGAGTGTTGTCACTGTGGAAGACCTGAAGTCCGTTCAGTGGGGTTAGTTATAGCTGCAGAGGCAAAGGCAGAAATCCTCGAAAAACAGACATGAAGATGGACAATTTGCGTATATGGATTACAGAGTTTGTAGGGAGCAGCCTGCGATAGATGGAGCTAGATCATGGCTGGAGAGGACTTTCCGCGGGAAGAAGATTCGAAACAAGGCTATCATGCAAAGATGCAGGCGTTGACCTGCAACGATTCTATAATGCTCCGAGCTGCGGGTCACACTTTGCAGTCCTGCTTCTCGCCCGAAACTCCTGCATTGCCTGACTCGCCGACAGATTCTCACATGTCCATGGATCCTCCAGCCACCTTCACCGAGCAGGTACAGCACATCGATCTGCCTCGGACCAAATTGAAGATTTGTGGAACTATTTATCAATCTATGTTCTGAGATGCTGCGGTCCCTTGACTACGTTCACAAATCTAAATATCCGGGATGATGTTTCATCATGCAGAACTAGATACTCAAAGGATTCACTGTTGTACAATTGGGTGTTTTGGCTGTTATGTACATAATGTCACTCAATTTGACGAATATAATTAAATCGTAATTATATGGACGTCATTGTCCGGTTTTGAGTTTTACCACTCCCCTGCAATTTCCTTTTAAGATTAAGTACGTATTGGTTCAATAAACCTGAATTCTGAATCTTAATTTGGATTCTTGTTTCAATCCGTGGCGAGCTGAGCCAAGAGCAATGCAGCTAAACTACAGTCAGAAGAATGCTATCAGGATTGAGTGAGCATTTTTTGATTCGTCCAAAATAAATGCCCTGTTATGCAACAACGAAATGAAATTTTGTTTAATAATAATTTCTGTCAATTGACATTTGGATTTTTATCACTTCGAGATCAGGAAGACGAATTTTTGAGAGAGCTTGTCAAGCGCCATGGTACCAAAAAGTGAGTACTGCGCTGAAAACAGTAATCTGGTCTGTCTTTCTTAGTATCATTCTGTATGTAAAGCGAGACAATTAATGCTCTTGTCTGACTCAAGCCCATCTGACGAAGAAGCCATCACTCCCGTTGTGTAGTGAGTAAGTCTTGCCAGCTTGTGGCTCTCTCGTGATTATAGCAGAGATTGATCTCAGACTGGTGGTCTTGCACTCATGTTTTCACGACGCATGTCAGGTGGCATATAATTTCCGCAAAGATGCACAACAAGACTCCGCGCGAATGTAGGAAGAGGTACTCTTCCAGCAAACATCGCACACATTAGAATCATGTGGAAAATGCGAATAAGCTTCTAATTCTCAATGTTCGGATCACGTCAATTTGGGAATTTGTATCACAGCTAAAAACATATAAATAAATCATCTGGAGTGGTCTCAAATGATACTATGCAAAGTCTTTATTATTTACCCTAGTAGAATGATTACCTACAGCAGCCTGCTCATAATATCAGTTTTAGATTGGGCGAGATTTTGCAAACAATAGAAGAACAACACGAAGTGTGAAAGAAGTGTTGTAAAATGAACGAAAAATTGATGAAACACTTCCAGGTTTGCAAATCTCATAGTCAGGGTCTTGTGAACTGAGATTGGTGAAAAATTCAAAGTCTGTTGAAGGTACTTGATTTATGCACATTTCTGCAGGTGGAGAACATATCTTCACATGTGTATGAACAAAAGTAGCTGGAGTGAAGAGGAAGACCGTCTTCTGATCGAGGTAATTTTGGATATACTTGTCCGGGTTCCAGCATATATAAATCAGTCACTGAGAAGGAGAAAACGTTCAGAGTGGAATTGGCTTCTAACACTTAACTATTTGCGTTCAGGGGCACAATGCATACGGTAATCGGTGGACAGAAATCGCGAAGATGGTTCCAGGCAGGTACTTTCGCGTAACTCTTTGCTTGTTGCCGTCCCATACTTCTTCTCTGCGGTTATATCAGCGTAAATATGTTCCTGCCTGATGGCTTCATTAGCCTTTACATAAAGCTCACATCCGTGGACAAAACGTTATAAACATCAATTTACCACAAAACTCTTATTTGAAGACAGTCTGGCTTATCACAATCGTTTTTGCATGAAGGATTTGGATTGTTAGTCACAGTCGCAGAGACGATGTTTGCATTATTTTTATATATTTCAAAGAATCCTACTGATGCAGCCTTGTACATCAAAACTAAATTTTTTTTCTAAATCCTACTCTGGAACTGGAGCATTTGCAGTTTGTTGTTTATGCTGCCCATCCACCTCATCAGGGATGGATTTGATTAAGGTCTTGATGATCAATCAGTTGATTTTTTATCGGATTCCAAGTTTATGAAGTAGATCTGTCCATGTTCACATCGAAGTCTTCAACTGGAATGAGGATTTGTACGAGGTCATTGTTGATAAGATTGTACATGTACTTGTCTCTGATCTTCCGTAACCCTTCCTTTAATAGTATCTACAACGGAAACATCTAGTTATATTTGTCTGTGGAAAAGAGAATGCTGCTGCCGTAGCCGACAGATTCCTTTCCTCTAAAAGATGGAACAATTGATATCTACTGCGCACGCGTGGGAATGGACACTTCTCATGTTTCAATGAAAAGGCCCTCATCATCAAATATGAAGGAACCTTAGGACACTGAACTTCCTCCTATTAAAATGCTTGGATTGCCGATTGCTGTAAACGCGAATTCTCCGCATTATTTTAAAACCCAAAAATTCTGTCAACAGTGGGATTCGAACCCACGCCCTTTCGGACCAGTACCTGAAACTGGCGCCTTAGACCAACTCGGCCATATTGACTTGATGTCGAATACTCTCATGTAAGTCACTTATTTATAAAATATCTTCATTCTACAGGACAGACAATGCCGTTAAGAATCGTTACAACGCCCTTTGCAAAAAACGTTCGCACCGATCCAGCAAAGCAGTGTCTCTTGGTGGTATGCCTGTCATGGAAACGTCTGACGAAACAGATATGTTGATGAAAGACATGGCCAAGAGAGCGAAGAAGCTGAAGAGCAGGTTAGTTATATTTTATTCCAGTAAGTGCTTTCTGTGTATGTAACGAGAAGAGCGAAAGCCTTCCAAATTAAACCTTAGTGTCACAAGTGACAGTCGTGGAAGCTAATAGTACGATTATGAGCGACGGTCAAAGATAGGTGACGGAGGTGTTTAACAAGATTGTTCTGTATCTCAGGGATGAAGGATTAGGTTTGTATATACCCAGCGTAAACAGGAGCTTGGGCGCCAAGCACAACTTATCCATAGAGATCCCAGGGGACAGTGATGTACTTCGTAGGTCTCATCTGCCACCCTGAATTAAGGTCCTTTATATAAATTTGCTTTAAGCGCAGTTTGGACTTCTACTTCATGTAAGATTGAAACACGCAGGGAAATATTATGAGATTGCATCGGCCTTGAATAACCCCTCTATCTTGCATGTGTCTCTCTGTAAACAACTGCACCTTTTGATCGGACATTTCAGCTGAATTTAATTTCACCCTTTCTGGAGTAAGATAGAAATGCAGTGCTGCTGGAAGCTGCTGCATTCCTTCTATTTTTCACTGTTTCTCATCCAAACCCGGAGGTGCCTCCGACAGGAAAGTCAAGCACCATAGTAGATTGTCCCCTATGCCATCCTAGGTGTATCTTGTTCAGGCATTGCTGCTCCTATGCATCACAGTTCAGATTCGAACTTACATAGAATAGAATAGTAGAGATGTATTCACAAGTATTCTAAACTTTGCCACTTGACAGAGCCCAAGTTGGCTACAAGACTTGGACGTACACTGGGTGCTATGTGGATCTACGTGGCATCCCTCTTCAGGCTATGTGCCTGTTTCTGCGTTGACATGGGCAGGAAAACTTCATTTAGGGAGTTTTCTTACAGGAAGTAAACGCTCGTGCGGTAGCCCGGGTGAGGCAAATAACTCATACGACTTTTCGGGGCTTCGACCCTGGCCGATCCGTACTGAAAGATTGCCAAATTTTCGGCTTAAATTTGGATGGAAAGTGAGGCAGACCCTCAGTTCGGGCCAAACCCTCCCTTAGACCCCGTCTTTTCCTGAATACTTTGGGAACTCAGGTTGGTATGAAAATATCAGTCTGTGAACGTCGTTAATGGTGCCAAGTAGGGCCCACCGTGACACGTCTAGTTGCAAGGGATGATTTTTGTCTCTGCCAATTCTTAATCATCGATACGTCGAACAACAAGTTTGGAGTACTGTACTTTGGACTCCATCTCTAGAACTACCATGGGTTCTTGTCAGAAATCTGGGACCGTTCGAATAAGTGTATTTGACCATCGACTTGTAGACCAGATTTAGCTGCATATTTCGGAAATTTCTTTCAACCCTAGTCTTCGTATAAGAGATAACACACTGCTTACAGGTGCTGAAGGAAGTCGGAAGCCCTTGACCGCGCTGAACATGTCAGATTCCACTTCTTTACAAGAGGTCTTGTCCTCCTCATCTGCTAGTATGTATGCTTACCTCAGTAGAACTTTATCAAGCTGGTACATGTCCTCGTTGGACCACAAATTCAGGGTTCCCATTCACTTTATGAATTAAAAGCGTGGTACGACCAGTTTAAGACCCCTCAATCTAATCAAAGCTCAGTGGGAACTAACTAAAGATGTCGTTGTATGCGAACTGGCCCATAAAGAGGAAATCCTTGTTCGATGAGTTAATTTATGAATAATTGCCTGACTTTGAGAAATTGAAGTATATGCCCCTCTATTGACCATAACTTTCATTTTGAAAACAACAGCTCAGAGATGCAGGAGATTCAAATTCCCCAAGGGATGGGCAAGTGGACATGGACGAAGTAATGGGCTGGCTACTGGCCAGAACACCTACACCAACATGCAACGGAAGTGGAAACTCGAACTCCACTGTCACATCTAGCGCTTCGACCTCTCCGTCGAGGCCCAATGAACACATATACTCAAGCGATCAAGGCAACCATCAAGTAACATCACTTTTGAAGGATTCATGTCAAAAATGCACGTCGTTTACATCTTCCACATCACACCAACTCCCAGATGAAGATGATGAACAATGACGATGTGGTAAGGTTTCTCAACATTCTCTCAAATCATATAGGAAGAAGACAAGAGTTTTCAGATTCCAGCTTTGAAGTAGTAGCTGTAGCTTTTCCTGTGACATGTTCGTCTTTGATTCCGTCCTGATTATATGTATTACAAATACTGATAAGACAAGAGTCTTCAGGTTTAGCATTGACGTAGTAGCTGTAGCTTTCTCAATGACATGTTGGTGTTTGATGACGTCCTTATAATACATGACAAAATACTCAGTTATACTCGGAGTTAATGGAGAGGCATGCAACTATAACCCATCATCGCAGAGAGTTACTGACCACAGGGATTTCCATGCAGGCTGAAATGCAGTACTAAGTGACCCGTCTGGGAGTAAGAATGATGTTTGCTACTCCAGACACAAACTTGTGAGACCCCCCTAATTTCGCTTGCGCCACAAATGCACATACTCTCTGTATCCAGAGTTCTCCGAAGTCTGTCATGCAACATATTTACAACGAGATTCACAAAATTTTGAACGTTTGATCTCCATTATAGGAATTTACATCTCACCTGTAGAGACCCTTGCCTTTGACCAAGTAGTACATGATATCTCTTGCAATCCTCATTGATCAGATATCAGCCTTCAGTAGTATCATTTTATCCTGGGGGCCAATTTCCTTGGCCAATATTGTTATATTAAAGGGTAGAAAGATGTACCTCTGGTGCATACAATTTTGACTAGCATGTCGAATATCCACAACGACTCTCCTCAAGTACTAGTAATCACATACTCTCAAGGGCTGGTGATGATGAGACACGTTTCTCCTCGACCAACCTCTTTGCCTACCTTTCTTGTAGAAACGGAGATAAGATTACTAGATTAGGATTCGTCGAAAAATGTATTGAAGGGATATTAAATTATCCGCTACTTTCTTCCCTCCCTGTAGTTTAACAAGTTAGTCCTATTTGACTACATGAAAACTACGAAGAAACCTTTAGACGTGCACATGGCTTGAAATTCATCTACCAGCGATCCAGATGTCTGAATGCTGACGATACACCCAGTACTCCTTTAAGTTCCCACAAGTCATGAAAGGCAAAATGTCGTATTAGGTGATGGTCAACGTACCCAAATCGAACTCAACACTGTTCAACTGTTCTGATCGAAGTGAAACTTGAAGTATGTAAGAAGCCTTCCACATCAATTAAATCATGACAAAAGGACTTATGTGATTCATACGTTAGAATGAATCAACGAGAAGATTTGATGGTGTCAAAATTGTATTAGCAGTGGTCACAATATTCTGGTATTTCAAGTTACACATGAATCATGAGCACAACATCCCAAATAGTAACAACTTAAGCGAGATATTCTGCCTCCACTTAGACCCTGAAATTTTTACCCTCGAGAAAGGAGCTGTGAATCTAAAGCGGCCGCAGTTATGACCCCGGCAGTGGAATCAGGCTGAAGACATACATGCGAGAGACACAAAAGTGCAAATATTTCTGGGGAAATCCGCAGTGAGAGGGTCGACCCGATCGGGGTAACACATCAGCAGCTGGATTTGGTCATCAAAAGGTTGTAGGGACGCTCTCTAATGCACTCGTAAGTTAACTTACGCAGGAAATCCTCAAGATATGGAGAGACAGGCCTAATCAATACAAATCACTGGATAAGATAGGATCAACTAGACATTCATGATGCAAGGATCCTGGCAATTGTAAATCCAACGATGAAGTAGTACAATACTCGACTTGAGCCGTGGTGTAGAATTCCAAGCTGGGGCGGAGGAAGCGAACGAGAATTTACAGCATCTATGTTACAACGAGGATGATACAATCACAAAACATTTTCTAGAGCTGCCGCCGTCACCGTAACACTTCATCAGACGATGAAGTTTTGAGCACTTCATCCCCAGAAGAAGTCCAATCGCGAAGAATCTCTTGAACTATGGCAGCAACAGAATCCTTCTCCGTCAAAATCGTACTGTGACTCATCTGAGCAAGTGGGACAAGCCGCAACTTCTGCCCGTCTACATTCTGCCAATCAGCCACAACAGATATCAAACTCTTGTAGTTCACGGTTCCATCTCCATCTCCATTCATGACGGTGGGTTGCCGATCAAATCCTTCAGCTTCATAATACAAGAGCCTCTCTGGAGTTTCCACCCCGTAGCCGCACACGATGGAGACCGGCACTCCTGGTGCGGTCAGATTGCTCGTCAGCGGAGGAATTCTGGTTCTGTAGGCATCTACGCCCTCAGGGTACCCAATGTCCCTCAAAAAATCTTCTATATCATGTGCAGTGTATGTCCTCGTGGGAGTGATAACTAGAGGCTGAGGCCCGAACACCTTGGACAAAGGCAGCAGCCACAGATTGGTCTCGGAGCTCCTCTGCTCATCTCTCAGTGTGAGAGGGTCCAGCAACGAGATGCCCTCCGTGTAGCCTGATGCAAACGTGAGCATCTCCTGCACTGTGCCGCCCCATGGCGTAGCTATAGATACGAAGCTCTTGATGTACTTAGTCCTCCATGACAAGGGTTGACTGTTGAGCACGTAGAGGGACCATAGACCACCCAGACTGTGAGCGACCAGAACCACCGGTCGATTGTCGTTCTCATCGTGAGCTTTCTCTATCAGTTGTACCAAGTCGTCACCAAATTTCACCGCTACCTCCGCTGCGTATGGTCCTGGTGCATAACGGAAGTCGTAAGGAGCACCGAAGAGGTTTTTCCCAACTTCATAGCCCTCTGCTTTTATGGCTTTCACCAATGGGGCCATGTAAGACGCTAGACTCCTGCACGACACGACAGCAGTTAGAGACAGCTCACTCCCAGACCAGACTGCAAGCATGTAACCAGATGAAAAAGTCTTCACGCGACACGATGGGCCACAATCATTTGACCTGTTACAAAACAAACCATTTATGTGCTCGACACTTGTTTCCTCTTGTATTTTACGATATGACACTACAGTCAAGTACCAAACGATATACAACGTGATGAAGAGATGAACTGATGCCAGTCAACTTAACGAGTCTTTCTCTTTGAATATAGAAGAAATTAGTTCAACAAAGTTCGCAGGGTTGCTCAAAGGTAGAAATCTGATAAGTTGGACTCTATGCGCTTCAACTATGTGATTCTTCGATATCTGAACTCAAAGGCAACTCACAGACAACTTCCGAAGATACAGGTCTACTCTGTACATGTCAAATTAAAAAGCTTCTGTCCTCACTAGACTTTTACAAATTTAAAGTACAGTCCTGGAAAGAGATAAACAGACATACATTTTGATCCCCACAAAAGTCCTGGAATCCACAATGCACAAACTATCATGAAAACAATCACCCACGGAGGCAAACATGTGACATCAGAATGGTTTACAGGAATTACCACGTAACGTACCCACTAAAGGTTGGTCCAAGACCTTTTTCAAAAGCATTTCAACTTCGTGACTTGAATCCATATTTCAATTTCAAGGAGGATTGTTCAGAAGGGAGAATTTCAGTTGTGGAAAAGCGATGCAATCAAATTGCAATCAAAGCGATGATCGTGGCAGACGATACCCGAGTACACTGATGAAAGTTCCGTGATTCCTTTCATCATGCAATCTCCGCCATACGGCCCACGCTCTACGCCGAACTTCACACCGAAGAATATTCCCTGGCCGTTAAAGACATGTGACCTCATTCTCGGTTGAGAGGACATTTTATTCTTTGAAACGCATATGTGATCCAGCATATTCAATGTGCCGGAAAAGCTTTGACTAATCTTGCAGATCAGTGTAAGGGCACTTCATACGATTGACTTCGGCTGCAGGTTCAACTGTGCCCGGGCCAAGCGATGGGCCTTCTTGTTTTTTGGCGAAAGTGTTATCCGTAAAGACATCAAGTCCAGTATCTCTCACGGTTTGCTATCAGCTTGTCACAAAGCTGGGATCTGCAAGAAGGGCAGTTTGACATCCAGGATATCACAGGCTTATTTATGTAGGCGAGTAACCTCATTCTAGTAGGTATCATGTGAATTTCGCAACGACCTAATTTTTACTAGAATTCTACGTGGAAAGGGTGGAAGAGGGACAGTCAACCTCAACATGTTGCCAAAGGTGGACGCTCAGGGACGAGAGCATCTGAACAGAGACGAAAGAACTGCAATTCAGAATTCAAGCATTGCTCGATACTTACTTGAAAGTAGGATCCAAGTATTCCAGACCTTCGGTGGTGCCCCAGTATGGTACTCTAGTTTCAACACCTGGAAAGTTCTCAAATCGCTCTGTGTCCTTGTTGTACACGAGCTTCATCCTCTCGGCAAAGCAGGTGGTGAACGGAGGAATCAAAGACAACGCATCGAGCCACAATCTGAAGTAGCCGGACGAGAATGAGTAGCACCAAAATGAGCCGGGCCTGTAATCCTTGGTCAATCTGGCTTCCAACTGATTCCCTCCAGTCCCGGGCACCAACACGACGGGCGACAGAGCTCTATCATCCGAAATTCTCGCGGCTACGCGACTCAGCTCCGGGCGCACTTGACTTGCTGCCGTGGTTACATGCAAATTCCCAACAGATTCACGCCCCAAGTCCACCCTGTTCGAAATTGGCGTCGATCTCGGCAAGCCGTAGCTCATAACCACCAGTGGGGCCACCAACAATCCAAGCCTGAGAAAAAAAGACCTCATCATCGCTTCTCAGTTCCTTCGTCCCTCCCTCTCCCTCTCCCTCCGCAGCGCTCCTCCTCACCTCACCCGCCGCTAATCGCTCGGCACAATTCCACAAACTCTCCCCGCTCTCACTCCCCTCTCACCAATATCGCTCGAACACTCGATCATCCTCTCCTCTAACGCAACAAAACTCTCGGACCTCCCGCCCCTGACTCACATCCTCGCAGATCCGCTCTCCCACTCGAGTACGACTACAATCATTCATACATTCACTCACTCAGTCATTGAGGCCTTCGTCCTTCCCTTCCATCCATTAATGCGACTCTCTCTCTCTCTGAGCTGACAATCAATGAACCAATCGAGATCTGTCTGTCTCTCTGTCTGTCCTTCTCGGTGCCACTCTCCCACCAACTTCCCCGCTCGCTCACTCACTCACCGATTCATTACTGGGAGTCGTGGCGTCGCTCACGGATCGGCAGGGGGGCGGGCCGACTGTTGTACCGCTGCTCGTCGTCGCCTCGTCCGGCCTGCGCTTCTTTCCAAGCTCGCAGCTCTGGGGACCTCTCAGAGGGCCCCGACGAGCCGTCCCCTCGCTCCGCCGACATGACGAACGGATGCATCTTTTGTACGTCCATCCGTTCAGAAAGCGGGGAGTACTCCGTCGACGATGGTCCGGTTTCCGTCCACGTCGTCCATCGGGAGCCCAGGAGTCGTGCGCTGCGTTCCGTCCCCACATTCGGAATCCTTGGGCCAAACGATGCATGGAACCGCCTTTTGTCAGGGGACTGTGCGCCCTGCACCCTTCCTTCCTTTATCGCCTTATCCTCTAACCCCAAAAATCCTTAATCCAACTCCGAGGGAATTTCATTCCATGTCGTGGGCATGTGACCGCAGCAAGAATTCGAGTGGCTGCATATTTGCGAGATATATGCAGTATTATAATTCCGCCGTATTTCGTGTTGTATTACACTTTATTTTTAACGTACAGCATCCAGAGACGAACAGATGGGATTTCATTCGCTGTGATTCCAGGATACATTTTTTAAAAAATTGGTTGATTAAATCCCTTAAAATATACACTTGGAAACATCTCATGCGATTGGGCATCTGTCATTCTGCAGCTAAGTGTGTGTTCTACCCACCCAATGCTGCTGAAGAGATTATGCAGAAAGAAATCGATAGTCTATCGGAAAATAACTGAAGAAAATGAAACCCCAAATGACGCAGATTTTTCCGAGATTGAGGTGAGCGCTGCTAACATTCCTACAATGTTGCATGATGAGTCTTCTTGGTTGTACTTGTATGAAGGCCTCCCACGAAGGCCGAATTCGAGGATTTTATTCCATTGCTATCCACGCATGACATTGATAGAGCACATCAAACTGGGCACACTCGATTTTTCAGCACTACACCGGAGGATACTTCATATCAAGATTGACCAATCAATTATAAATAATGGTAAAAATAAATAATTGAGAACTTTAATTTGCTTCCAGAAATTCATTTACAAATGACAATGTGCAAATTTGGAATTCGGAATTTAATTTTGGTCAATCCCCATAACACTTTCACCTTTATATGATTTTCAATCTCTCATGTATCAACTTTTTCACATTTGAAGAATAGCATCTTTCATCTCCTTGTAGCTTTAAAATGCATACACTTGCATGTTGGGATTAACTGATTGAGTTTACTAGATTTCTTCAAGTATACTTCAACATGCCTTGCAAATATTATACAGTACTTGCCTCAGGTCAAAACTCATAAACAATCACAATATGTCATGATACTTTAGTCGATTTGAATAAGAAGAATGCATGATACATACATGTTTTATGATCAATCAACTTCTTGTTTTGTGAAGATGAATATGCATATACAATCTGTTTAGGTATCTCACCGCTTACACTAGGGATATTTAACCCTAGGGCTTCTGTACTATAACATCACTTTACACATTAATACACTGATTCCCTCGTCGTGAACATAACCCTCTTTGGATGAACCATGTTACATCTAGTTTATATTGTTTACTTATTTAATGTCATTACTAATATGTGATTCTCGTACAGTTATAACATATAGTATCCAAGCAATTGCATTTTGTGACAGTGTTTTGGGCATTGATTGTGTTTTTTGTGATAGTGTTTAGTAAACTTATCCATTGTTTGAAGTTGTTGCCCATGTACTGGAAGCTTTGTCTAATCAAGGGAGAAGGCTAGAAAATTTTTTGATGATAGAAATAAGTGGAAGTGCAAATTGACAACGACAACATAGACAAATTCGAGTTGCAAGCATGGAGAGAGATTTGAGCGCACAATAAAAAAACATACAAAGCTGAAAGAAGCTCAAATTTAATCACACCAAAATTTGACAGTCACATGCACAATATTGTCAAGTTTTTTTTGTGTTGACAAAAACTCACATTGTTCTATGTGGTATTTAGACTGCGAACAAGCGCAGAGTTTCACACGATCATAGTAAAACGCAAGTTCAAGGTTGTTGAGAAAATTTGATTATGATTGATTTCATCGATCATAATTAATTTTGATCAATCAAAATTTGCAAGACAAGTTGGACTAGGCTAGACGATCAAGCGCGAAAGCAATTGAACAGCAAGAGCAAGGCTCAACGCAAGCGCAATGCACGCAGACGATTCTTACTTTCAACCCCGCGATGAAAGGTGTTGACTTCCACAAGCAACATGTATGCGTAGTCGTCACACGTGGAACGTCGCGTAGGTACGGTTAGCACACGAAGACACGACATGTAGGTCGAGCATGCCACGTAGGCTCGGAAAACATGACAAGTACGCAATTGATGTGATACAAAAAGGACACCCATGCAAACACGTGGTGTGCATACTTAGTTCGGACATGCGCGACGGACATTTGCTGTATTGACTTTTCATTTAGGCAATTCGGCTAGTTAGAGTCAATCACGTGCTGTTTTGAGAAGTTTCTGTCAGATTTTTGAAATATTTCATCCGTCATCAATGTCTGGTCTATTAGTAATATTTCATTCTAGTAACTTTTTCATACCTAAAATATTTCGTCTTATAGAATAAAGGCAAATTGGATATCATCATGGTGAAGTGTTTAGCGTTTAGGGTTGAAAAGTTCATAGATGACTGATAATGAAAATATTGACATGAAAACTATGATTGTTTTCAATTTTTGTTGGACAAAGATGACATTGGATGTATTGGAATTCCAAATTATAATATTTTATCAATCTATGGACGAGATGATTACTTGCTCTGAGGAAGATGAATTCTCCATGAACTTTTATCACAATTGCATGGAAGTATCTCTTTAAATTTAATGGGAAGCATTTCCATTCTTGGAAAGATAATAGAAGTTGAATCCTTCCAGTTGAAAGGATTGATGGGCGTCATCGAAGATACCAAGCTCCGGCAGATCACTCCACCTGGTCTACAACCAGCACATTTGCATCCAGCATAGGGAGTAAGAACTAATGGAATGATAGAAACTTCATATCCTTGGCAATGTTGAATAATGCGTTTGAGCTTCACCAACAGCCATAATCGCTCGCTATAGAATAGCAGTATAGGCTTGAACCGAATTGACAAAGGTATTACTGAATCGTGTTACATACCGATGCAATTGCATCTAAAAGAATCATTGTCTTTCCAAAAAATGAAGATAGACAAGTCTGTGGCAAAACACATCACACAATTTCGTCTACTTCTCGACCAGTTGGCAGTTGTATGACAAATCATTCCATATGAAAAAGCTTATATCTGACTCCTTCGAAGTCTTATAATTGAATACCGAACATTGGTGCGCTCGATGCGAACAAACGAGACGTGTACACAATCCGCCATAACAAGTCTGTTCTTGAAGAAGCACACCTCAAGAAGTAAGATGTGACTGACGGAATGGCAGTGCTCTAAACCAGAAAAAGAAGAGTATGGACTTACTCCAAGCAAAAGCTGCAACCAAAAAGATATGATTAGTCATGTTCTTCATTTTCATCACAACAATAACCTACATCATAATCATCATTTTGCTGACAAAAGATGAAGTGCTTCTATTACAAGAAGTGAGGTCATCTAACAAACGAGGGTCGAAAGAAGAAGCAAAAAAAAATAATCATACATTCTAATGCAAACGTCGAGCAGCGATTGTATGTCATCACACTCTCCTCAATCAATGCGGATGGAGCATGCTATGTGGATTCGGGTGTCACCCAACATATGACATATAATCAAAATGTCTTTGTGACATATACGGAGCTCCCATTGGAAAAGTGCATATATCTGGACAACTACATTTGCCAACCCATTCAAGGTAAAGGAAATGTTGTCATTTCCTTGAATGATGAACAAGATATAGTAATACCTGATGTCCACAAATTCCTGCTCTCCGCAAAAATCGGTTCTTCATATATCAACTAGTTATTCAAAGCGGGAATTCACTGATCAAACCTTATCAATGCATCTCAAAGGACAATATGGGCAACGTAATTGCTCAGTGCATCAATAAAAACAAAATCTTCTGGCTAATCACGACTTCTACAAATACCTAAGCAATTTCTGCTAATAGTGGTTATTCAGCTATCAACACTTACGAGCTGATTTTTTTTATTTAATGTTTAAATTTATAAGTATATGAAAAAAACAAACATTTACAAATCATATTAATTTAAATATTAATAAAATTTTATTAAATCCATAATTAAGTTTTCTACTTTATTATATAGATGATTCATTATTATTCAAAAAAATTATTGATTAATTCACTTATTTCTAATTTTAAGTTATATATTTAATTTTTGATAATTTTATGTGTAAATTTCTTGATTTATCTATATCGATATTAATATTTGGTGCAAAAATCTTCTTCAACAAATTTTAGTTGTAAATTATATAAATAAAATAATTTACATACATGTACAAAATTGATACATTTTTCATGATTTTTGTATAATTTACCATTATCATTTGTAATTTATTAGAATATCACAATAAATATATCAAATCAATTATGTTTATATGTTATATAAAAATTATAATTTATCTACAAAAAATCAAAAAATGAAGTAATATTGCAAATATATAATTTCTTAAGTTAACATTATTATAAGTGAATTTTGATGTTTGTAAATTATGTCTAATTGTAGTAGAGATCAAAATCTCACACGACATATAATGGAAACGTGAGAATACGTGCATGATGTGTGATTAGTCTCGTAACTAC